TCTCTCTCTCTCTCTCCAAAATAAATAAACATTAAAAAAATAAAAGAATAAAAAAGAAAGAAAGAAAACTCCCCCTCAATAGCAGTTACCTCGTTAAGGTAACTACTCTGGGGCAAGGTGTCCCTCTAGCAGTAAAATGCCGAAACCTGCAGTAGACACATACCTTAGAATCTCTGCGGTTCCAAGAGTAGCTGAGCTAACTTTTCTCCCACAACATCAACCCTCTTCTCCCCCCCACTCCACACACACTAAAGATCCCTTCCTAAATGGGGAGGGACAAGAAGAGGCTTGGTGGGAATGAGGGAAATACTGGCAAGATGTCTGAGGGGCTCACCTCCCAGGGGTTCTTTTCTTTTTTTAAAGTTTATTTATTTATTTTGAGAGAGAGGGAGAGAGAGAACCCCAGCAGGTTCTGCACTCAGCGCAGAGCCCGGCGTGGGGCTTGATCCCACAAACCATGAGATCATGACCTCTAGAGATCATGAGGTCTGTACACAGAGTTCAGGGCTTGAAAATTCAAACTGTACAGATGCAGACTACGTAAGGAATTCAGACACTGTCCTGCTCGCATCACCGAGGGAGTGTGACGTCGGTTATTACAGAGCTAAGTAAGACAGGCTAGATGCTGATCGGCAAAACAACGGTAATCTTTCTCTAAGACAGCGCAAATTCAAGATGCGGTTTTATTCATGACCCTAGTTGTTTTAAAAAATGGCTCTCTACGGGGCGCCTGGGTGGCGCAGTCGGTTAAGCGTCCGACTTCAGCCAGGTCACGATCTCGCGGTCCGTGAGTTCGAGCCCCGCGTCGGGCTCTGGGCTGATGGCTCAGAGCCTGGAGCCTGTTTCCGATTCTGTGTCTCCCTCTCTCTCTGCCCCTCCCGCGTTCATGCTCTGTCTCTCTCTGTCCCAAAAAATAAATAAATGTTGAAAAAAAAAATTTAAAAAAAATAAAAAAAAAAATGGCTCTCTACAAGTTTTCTTTGAACTCACTGAAGGCATCAGAGAGGAAAAATGACCCCGGGGTGCCTGGGCGGCTCAGTCGATTGGGTGTCCAACTCTTGATATTGGCTCATGTCGTGGTCTCGTGGTCGTGAAATCGAGCCCCAAGTCAGGCTCCGTGCTGAGTGTGGAGCCTGCTTAGGATTCTTTCTCTCACTCTCTCTGCTCCTCCCTGGCTTGCTCACTCTCTCTTCCTCTCAAAATAAATAAATAAACATCAAAAAAAGAAAGGAAAAGTAGATCCCAGTGAGTTTAGGGAAGATAGCCCTTCTATACTGTACGGAACTCACAATGAAACACGTTTTCATATCCAGATCATCATTAATCTTTTTAAACATCTTAACACCTGCGTGTTCTGACTTCTGTGCCCAGACTTCAGAACCTCAGCATTCCCGAGGCCCCCAGTCTGGCTGCTTCCTGGAACTTACCCCCTTGGGAGGCAACTAAGCTCTGGACAAGTTTTCCCCTCCAGAAGAGATGCGATCTGTCCCGCCAATCTCAGTCTTCTCTGCGTAGATGCGAAATATTACAAGCGTCACACTTCATTCCTGCATGTGTTTTGACTAAACACTTATTTCAGTTTTACTAATGGATTTGGTTATAGAAGGTATAATAATCTATTGCAATATTGTTTCAAAATCGTTTCCAAAATTGCTTGTGATTTGTTTGTTTGTTTGT